GAGGCGGCAAAGGCGGCCGAGCACCCGCTGCAGCACCGCCTGGGGCCATTGACCACCGGGGCCGGCGTCGACACCCACTTAGAGGGCGGCCGCGCCCACTTCCGCCAGGAGCTCCCCCCTCCGCCCACAAAGGCCACCGAGGAGCAGTGCCCGCACACGGCGGGGTGACCGGCTAGATTCCAGGCTCTGGGCCTGCAGCTCCACGGTGCAAGTCCAACCAGGAGACGGCACCCGGCCACAGGTCCCACGACGGGTCAGCCCGAGGCTCCCGACACCCCCAGGAGGGCACCTGTTATGACTGAACTGCGTCCCCCCAAAATTCATAGCCCTAACTCCCGGTGGGGCTGTCATTAAAGACGGGGCTTCTGAGGAGGTGGCTAAGGGTGAGGGGTCACAAGGTGGGCCCTGATCCGACAGGGCTGCTGTCCCCGTAGGAACCGGGGTCACCAGGTCCTCTCCACCCCAGCACAGAGGCGCCACGTGAGGACACAGCGCGAAGGCGGCCGCCCCCCAGCCAGCGCGTCCTCACCAGGAACCGAGGTGTGGACACGTACAGCGTGGACTTGAAGCCCCTCCCTCCTCCCAGCTCACACAGAGACCCCGACCTCTGACCTCCGACCCCCGCATCGTGAACCGCAGCAGCAGCCCCCACGCCCTTCACCAGAGTGCCCTGGTCGCCGCTGCGTAATTCCGCAACGCCACCGTCCCTCATCCTCCACCCTGAGCAGCTCCTTGCACCCCGACTCGTCCTCCTCACGGTGACACTGGGCCTGGCATTCACCCGAGGCTCATTTCCTTCCACGCCCGCCGTCCCCGCTGTCCCTCCCCGAGACGTACGTGTCCCATCCGGCTTTCTGCGCCTCCCCAGCCCCAGACTAGTGCCACGGGCACAGTGGGCATTCAAAATGTATTTTTGGGAGAAACGTTTGCATGGAGGAGGGGACGAAGCCACTGGCCAGAGGCCAGGACGGGCACGGCCCCAGGCACGCGTCTCCCACGGGGCATCCAGGGCCCCGCCTGCGGGCCAGGCCTTCCTGGCAGTGGTGACTGTGACACCCAGCCCACCTCCCAAGTGGCAGCTAACGGGCCTCTCATGGCTTCACCCCTGTTCCTGACCTTGAATAGAATGGATTCATTTCTGAATTAAAATAAAGAACAGGAGAACCAGTGCCAACCACTGTCCAGCTCCTCCGTCCGTGGGGACGCTGAACCCCGAGGCAGCGCTCCCGTGGAGGCGGCTCCACTGGGGACAGGACACACACCCCTGGTGACAGAACCACTCACGCATCCCTAGGGCAGGGCACTGAGGCTCAGGACCGCTTGCCCAGAGTGACTCCTGACAAGGTCACACGTGGACCTCTGCTGTGTCGTCTCAGACCAGGCGGCGGCTGGAGCAGCCACGCGGAGCTGGCAGGAGGAAGCGGGGCTGGGGGCTGGAGGACTGGGGGGCTCTCACCTCTAGCAGACGGCAGCTCTCAGAGAAGGAAATTCTGCTAGGCCAGCGGCCAAGGACCCTTTGCTGTCGTCCCATCCAATGTGGAGAGCGTGATTCTAAGGAACCTGCCCCAGCACAGACGGCAAGGTCCCTACGGGGCCATCGACGGCGGCACTGGGCGGTTTTCTCAGAGCCAGGAAGGGAGAGGCAAGCTCAGAACTGACGGCCCAAATCACAGCCTGAGCAAACACCCATGCCAGCTTCCCGTCACCTTCACGGGCCACGCACGTCAGGGCTGGCGGCAAAAGGCAAGCTGGTGTCCGGGCCGCATGGAGGCCTAGCCCCCAGCTCTGCTGCAGAGGCTCGGGGTGCTGAACGGCCCGCCCCGCCCGGGGCTGCCCACGGCCAGACGCTTCCGGGGTGGGTCACGCCACACGCCCCGGGAGCAGGGGCCGTCACCCCGCTATTTGGGTAATTTCTGATCGTGCTTTTGTAAGGCCTCTTTTCATGTTCGTGACAATGCATCTTATTCACGTTTCTGAACATCTAGTTTGGGGCCTGGGACAGAGCAGGTACCGACCGATAACCTTCTGTTGACGCCCGCCCTAAGAGGACTTCCAGCTGCCGCGTAAGGGGTTAAAGCGTTTCTGAAACCTGGAACAGCCTGGCTGATAAACACCCCGGTTTCGGGGAGAGTAATCACCCATTGCCATCCTATGATTACGAGATATTTTCACTGCCAAAAGATGCAATGCAATTTCATGGTTACTTGGGCCTGTAAAATAAAAATACCCCCAATTTTTAAGATACGAAAAGGTTTATGACCAGAGGACACTGGTTCAAGAATGAGTCCATGGGACAAATGAGTCAATTCATGACGAAATTTAATTTCAGGAAAATTAACTCGATAAAAACGCCGCACTTGTGCTTAAATTTTAATACCTATTAGACATTTTAGCGAAGTGGTGAACAACTTCGCTAACACGGACATGCAGACCCATCTCCCGGCTCCTCCCTCAGGACGCGGCTGACTTAACGCCTGAGGCACCCGTGGTGGGGACAGTGCTGCCGGGAGCTCTGTGCTAGGAGGACAGGGTCCCGCAGAGCCTCGCCCATCGAGCGGCGAGCGTGCGCAATTTACCGGAAATCATGCTTTGCCTCCCGCAACGCTCCCGAGACCTGGTGGACGGCACCAGGCTGTCGGCCACTCCAGCCAAACGGCCCAAGGAAAGGCTTTACGTCCCCGCGAACGCTGGCGGCCGGGAACGCAGCAGCTACGGACGGCATTTGGCCACGTGGCTGCAGAAGCCGAACAGAGGGAGGGCGCGGACGCGATGCGCTCGCGCACGGCGGCTCCCATAGCGGTCCCCGCACCGGGGCCTGCGACCGGCACGTGACGACGGCAGGCCATGTGTGACCCTGCAGCACGGCCTCAGCTTCAGCAAACATCTCGACAAAATGAAAAGGTGCCAGAGTAAGCAATGGGACACTCGAGGGAACAAAGGTGGTTCGATCCAGAAAACTCAATCTCCTGAAGAAACGGATTTCATCGAAACCGGCGGAGAGAAAATTTCACGCCGCACTGAATCTGTCAGTGATTCTTTTAAAAATCTTTATTATGAGCAACTCGAAACACAGACAGCGCGTGGGTCTGAGAGTGTTTGTGCGGCTCAGGCCGAGGCCAGAGTTACAGGTGTTCTCGCCACCCCTGGGGACCCTGCCGGCACGTGAACGGCTAACGAGCCCCGGGACACTGTCACCACACCGCGGGAATGAAATTCAGCTACAAGGAGGAGGACAGGGAGCTCTTTTTCCTGTTTCACGTCTATTCAGATGAAAGAGCATCAGAAATGGGCTCTTAAAAGACCAAGTTCACTGGAGAAGATGGTTTAAGGCAAACCTGAGTGCTGCGCACAGGCCCGGGCAGAGCGCGACGGGGCGCGTGCGGGGCGGGGGGCCCCCTGGGAGGGAACGTGGGGGACTCACCTGGTAGGTGTCGCACAGGCGCGTGCGGGGCGGGGCGGGGGGCTCACCTGGTAGGTGTCCCACAGGCGGACGGCGCAGCGTGGTGGCAGCTCCCTCGTCAGCAAGTTGTTCATCCAGCGGAAGGCGAACTGCAGGTACCGCACCTCGTGCTGCTCCAGGTGCCGGTGGACATGCTCTGCAGGGAACGACACAGGCCACTATTAGGAGACTTTGCAGTTCACTCCTCCTCGGGAAAACAAATGCTGTGGTGGCAGTGATGGCGTGGTGACGATGGTGACGACGCTCCAAGTGCATGCCACATCGAAGCCCACAGCCCACACCCAGGGAGGCCGTCGGACAGCACCTGGCATACAGCGAGGACACTAGCTGAGAGGCACGTGGCAGGGTGAGGTCCCCACACCTGTCTGGCGAGGTTCCCACAGGCAGAGGCAGAGGCTCCGTCTCCTGCCCAAGGCAGGCCCACCGAAACGGGTGGCATCCTGGGAGGGGCCTGGAGATGGAAGCAGATGAGCTCGCCAGCTCCCCAAGGTGGACACCCACCTGCTCCCGGACCCAGCCTGAGCGCCAGGCGGGGCGTGGCCCTGGGCCCTGCGCCCGGTGTCTCTGGATGCCAGGTTTGGGGCACCGCGGAGACGGCTAGTCCTCTGAGGGACCAGGCTTTACACCCCACATTTCCCGGACACGCCCTCCCGTTGGCCTGAAGTCCACTGGTCCCCCTCACAGCATAGCCGCGGACACCCCAGAGCGGAAGTCCCTGCGTTCCCGGCTCAGATGACTCTGCAGAGCTGTCACCGTCCGGCCAGAAGCTCCACCCCCCACCCCCGTCTAGGCTGTCCGGAAGGGTCATGGCAGGAGGCAGAGATTCCAGTCAGCGTGGTGACCACACTATTTCAACACTGTGCCCAGGACAGCCTAGTCCAGAGGTCCTGGGGAGTGCGGGGCTGCTTCATAAAGTGGGCGGGGCCTGGGACCTCCCACACTGCTCTTTTCCATCAGGACCCCCCGGACCCAGACGGTGACACTAACACCCCACCTGCACCCATCTCCTCTAACCCCCTGGGTCACAGACGCCTCCTTCTCTGCAAGGTCACCTTCCCCACTAGCCTGGCCTGAGAAGCAACCCTGAAGAACGTTCTCAGGAGCTTTTAGTTCTCCCAAAAAAAGTTCCAGAAGTGGCAAATAAGCCAGGGTACTGAGAACAGTCTCTGCCGCTTGCCAGTTTGCTCCTGCCCACGTTCAGCACTGCACAAATGAGGCTTTGCCGGTTCAAGCAGAGGAAGGGGCGGGAGGGGCGGGAGGGGGCGGACGGCCCTGTTCTGACCCCCTCTGCATCCTACGCGCAGCGGCTCTGGGTGGGGGGGCGGGCCTGGCTGGGGGGCGCTCTCTCCCTGGGGATGCAGGCTCTGTCCTGCTGGCCACAGAGAGGCTCCGGACAGCTCCGGTTCCCGTGACTGGAGCCAGTTTCTTCACTCACTGTCACCCCCACCCCCAAAACACTGCCATCCTTAGCTGACGAGAGCCAACACATCTGGGCACTGTCGACTCAGGAGGCGGGGCAGGGCAGCCATGGGGCCGGTGTGGCAGAGTGGTGGCTGGGGATGGGCCCCATTCACGTGGGGCAGAGACGACAACGTGAGGTCAGTTCCACCGACAGAGTGACCCGTCACACAGTGAGGCCCTGATAGCCACGAATGCACACCTCGGGGCCCCCACAGCCAGCTGGGAGCCAGGCACCAGAGGTGGGGGTGACTGGCTTGCAGGAGGCTGACAGGACCAGGCAGGGGACCCCAGAGACCCCCAACTCACACATGCTGCCTCTGCAGGGACAAACTTGGGGTCGAGGGCCCCGGGGAGAGCACAGGGCAGGCCTGGGCTCAGGCAGCAGGGTCCAGAACGCGGGCGGGGACGAGGGCCTGGCTGGCTGCAGGCCTCCTCTGGCGGTGTCGGCTCCCGGGGCAGGGCCCCGCCCGATGGGCACAAACACGACGGAAGCCCCTGCGCTTCCACATCGGCGGGGCCCCGCCAGGCCTCCCCTGGGGAGGAGAGCCTTTCTGCGGAACCGGGGTGGGCAGGAGGGAGTCGGGGGGGCCCACCGGTCAGGACTCACTCGAGTCAGCTGGGAGCTAACAAGGCACCTGCGGGCAGGGAGGGCAGGTCACCCTGAGAAAACGGATCCTTCTGACATCAAAACCAAAACACACACACACAGCGGCAGAGAGGCAATCGGCGCTGTCAGGTTTTGGATAAAACCTAAGATTTCAGTGAAATTTCTTCTTGGCACTGGGCCCTCCCAGCTCCATCTTCCAAGGCTCGCCGACACCTAAAGACTTAAGATGTATTTCTAACCTGAAATTATCAGCAGCTACAAAACTAACCCTCTAGAAAGTTCCACAGGGCCCTAAGTGGCCCCTCCATCCAGATCTGACCTTTGCCCTTCCCCCAAGGGCAGAAGCTCTGCCAGCACTGATGGGGTTGCCCGGCCAACGTGGAATTCAAATATGATAAACACTTGAAAATCAGCAGTTTGGGAAATGATTACGTTTACTGAACGAGGCTCCTCTCCATGGAAAAAGAGGAACGAGCTTCCATGAACGTGCAGTCGGCAGCCTGGGAAGAGCAGCTGGTACGGTGGTGACCGCTCTGAAGAGATGACACTGTCTGCGAACAGAGCACCTGGAAGGAGCGAGGCCGATGCGGGGGCCACACCCAGGACGGGCGCCCGGCCCGCCAGGCGCTCCGCACGTCTGCTGAACGTGAGCAGCAGGTCCATGCCCAGGACTGGACACGCTCAGGCCACACGGACGACGGGTGACCGCTGGGGAAGCAGTGTGGCGAGCGACAGCAGAGCCGCGGCCTCCCCGGCCTGTGGCGCTGCAGCCCAGGTTGGGACAAGGCTGCCATCTTACGAAGCGGCAAAACAAACGGCTCTGACCCGTGCCTGGGAGGCGCGCGACACCTTCCCAACGGAACCCGGCCAGCAGACACGTCTGGAAAAATAAACACGTTTCTAGAACACCTGGCACTGAAGCCGCCCAGCTAAATAGCAAGAGTGGACCCTCTGTCGTCTACGGTGAGGTCCACCCGAGGGCCACCTGCAGTGGGCACAGGAGCAGGCACCCCTCAGCTCCTTCCCACGAGTCGTGGACGGAGGTGACCCTGCCTCAGGCTCAGCGAGAAGGAGCCCGACCCAGACGGCGTGTGACACCTGGTCAGCTGCCATGACCACGCACCGGGTGGCTCCCCGACCGGGGGACACATGCACCCTGTGAGGCAGGCTGGGCCACCTGTCCGAGGTGTGTGTAAGGCGTCCCAGACTGAAGGCGGAACTCAAGACTGTCCCTTTCCATGGGCGCCCCGCAGCCACGTGGGCGCACGGACTCGCCCCGTGTCTCTGGGCACCAGGGCTCTGGGCATGGCGTCATCGTCTGCATGGCAGGGCCCGGCCCCCAGGGAGAGCACGGGCCACAGGCATGACCAGAAGCCTGACGCAGCACTAACCTGCGGGGCACAGAGTCCTCTGCAGCGGAGGCTCGTCGCCTGCCGCTCACCGGGGAGACTCAGCAGGAGCCCCACATGCAGAGTAGGCGAGGCCAGCATTCTGCCCTCCAGGGGCTCCTGACTTGCAGGAGACAGAAAACTCAACCTGGAGCCTGAGTCGCCTGTCCCATCACAACTACTGGCTCTGGGTGTCCTGGGTGCCTGGCTTCCTCTGTGCCCAGCGCAGGCCCGAGAGGAACGGAAGAGGCAAACACGTGCCCGTCTGGTTGGACATGCGCCCGGGACGCGAGGCAGCGCGGGACCCCAGTGAGGCACCTCGCTCTCGCTGGGTGGCCGGCCGCCCCTCGCCCGGATCCAGGGCCTACGGGCGCACCCGTCCTGACACACCGGAGAGCGTGACCGCCCGTCACGGATTACGTGGCTTCTCCAGGAGGATGGGATAAAGAACGACCAAGTGCAGCAGCCACCGGCTCCCGCCGCCTCCGCGAGACTGCCTCCTGCTCTGCCCCCGCTGAAAAACGGACTACTGAACTCGGGCGATGCGTCCGACTTACACACGGCAGAGCTGCCAACGTGTATGCTGAGAAGATTCATTTTTCCTGTTTCGTAAGTAATGGTGAGCA